AGCCAAGAAAGCAAATCCGATATGTCTTCTAAGCCATTTCCACATTGTAACATACAGTTGAATGCCATGCATTACCATGAAAGAAAAAATATATGATGTCTGTTATTGGTCATGCAACTGATACGCCACCGTGTTCGTTATTAATTCTTGAAGCAATCAAACAATTTATTTACCCTTCTATCCTAACAAAATATATGAACCACTCCCTCATGCATATTGTTACAAAACCAACTCTAATGAAATATAATGAGTTAATTACACCACATGTGCCTGAACTTGGCGAGAAAAGTCAGTTTGGTGCTAAAACTTATGGCATACATTGAACCGGCGACAAAACTTGGATTGGGCGTGCATATACGGTGCAAATCGTGTTTGTATATGAACACATTGCTGACTAGGCGCGCCGTCATAGTGTGGGATCCGCTGTCAGTGACTGGAAAGCATTGGCGAGGGCTTGATAATAGTGTTCCCTAATTGGTGCTTTATAAGAGAAGATAGAGACCCAATAAAAATAAAAATTACATAAAAGTAAATAGATAAGCCCTTCATAGAGGGAAGCTGAGATTTATAGAGGTGCCAGAGCTCGAAGCTTAAATTGAGAGATAAAATTGTTTTGAGAGGCATGCTTTTCCTGTCAACAAAAACGTCCGAGAATTCCCAATACTTTCCATACCAGATAAATCATAGGCGGTTCCCAAACATAAAATAAAGTTTATTTCCTTTTCCACCATTCTTTCACAATCCATGGCTAGCCGTATCCACGGGTGTCTTCCATACCAACACTTTTCAATGAATTTATTATGAATAACATAAGTGAAAAAATCATTTCGGGACAGGGCATCCCAATTACCCGCCACACTCTCGTGCACTGACAAGTGAATAAACACTCATCTTGAGAATAATGTATCTAGCATGGAAAAAATTGGCCACCCCCTGCCGCTTCATGAGCGGTACGGGCACACAAAAAGGAAATTCATGTTGAAAATTAGAGTTGGCACATACAAATTTACGTGGAACGACATGGAAATACCGCTTATAGGTAGGTACGGTGGGCTCATTTGGCACAACTTTGGGTTTAAGGAGTTGGATGCACAAGCAGTATTCCCGCTTAGTACAATTGAAGGCTAACAAATAGATTGACAAACGATCAACCAAGAAATGAAAGCGATCATAAACGGGCATTAAACATAACTAACACTGAATAATGCACCACAAGTAGGATGTAACTTCATTGCATAAATATTGACTTTCATGCTTGCATTGGGAATCACATACCTTAACACCAATATTCTTACTAAGGCATAATTACTCACCAACATGACTCACATATTACTATCTCCATTCAAAATTATTACAAGGAATCGAGTTTATAATATCCAATGATTTTCATGAAAGTTTATAATATCCAGTGATTTTCATATATTACCATTGCTACTAACAAGCTCTCAAATATATTTAAGTGAAGCATGAGAGCACATATTTCTTCAAAATTTACTAACTCTCAAAATAATCTAAGTGAATCATGAGAGAATTTCTTCAAAAATTAAACCACCACCATGCTCAAAAAGATATAAGTGAAGTACTAGAGCAATTCCATAGCTCAAAAAATTTAAGTGAAGCACATAGAGCACTAGTAGAAAAAGGCTATTTGTCCCGGTTCGTAAGGCCCATTTGTCCCGGTTGGGGAACCGGGACTAAAGGGTCGGTACTAAAGCCCTAAACCTTTAGTCCCAGTTCTTACACCAACCAGGACAGATGGGCCTCCACGTGGCCGCTGCGACGAGCCCAGGCAGGAGGGACCAAATGGCATCCACACGTCAGCAGCTGGCAGGAGCTGAGGTTTTTTTAAAAGGGGGTGGGTTTAGGGGGGTTTGTGGGGTTAATTAAGGGTGTTAGCTAGCTAATAGAGAGAAGTGCCCTCTCTTATCTCCGTGCTTGGTTTACTAGCGCTAC